GTCTCTAACCAGATCTGTGGACATCCGACACATAAAATTGACCATCAGAGTCTATTAGCTTCAAAATTTGTTTAATATTAAATCAGACTTGGTAGATACTTGTACTCTTAAAAGTTATTTCTTTTATTTGATTGTTTCCTATATCAGATAATTTTGGATAGTATCATGCATTGTGGAGATTTCTGATTCTGTTTTGCTGTAATGAATGCTGCTTTCATTACTGTCTGGTACTTTTCTTGAGTGAGGCTGAACAGCAAACTCTGTTCCTTGTGTAACAGCTCCATTTCCTGGTCCAACCTCTGCCTTAAGTTGGGCTCTGTAGATTCTGATTTATGCCTGTGCAGTTGGGTCAGAGATGTGCATGCAGAGAATTTAGAAGTGTCTTTCTGAGTCAATCCCTTTAACAATCTCCATTTGTTCTTTGGAAAGAGTATCCTGACATTTGCAACAACATGGATAGAAGGTGACAGCATTATGCCCTGTGAAACAAGTCAGAGGAAGACAACAATTGTGAGCTCTCCTTATATAGAGAATCTAAAAAAGTAAAACTTATAAAAACAGAAATCAGAATGCTGGAAAATGGGCAAAATAAGAAGATTTTAGTCCAGGGTGGCGCTGTAGCATAGTGGGCTAAGTATTCACTATGGGTGTTGGTTCATGTCCTGGCTGCTCCTCTTCCCATCTAGCTTTCTGCTATGTCCTAGGAAAGCAGTGATGACCCAAGTGCTTAGGCCACTGCACCCACGTGGGAGACCTGGAAGAAGCTCCTGGCTCCTAGCTCTAATGGGCTCAGCTCTGGCCCTTGCGGCCATTTGGTGACTAAACCAGCAGACGGAAGACCTTTCTGTCTGTCTCTCCCTCTCTCTGTCTGTAGCTCTACCTCTCAAATAAATAGATTAAATCTTAAAAAAAAAAAAACAGAGATATTAGTCAAAGGCTATAAACTTTCAGTAGTAAGACTGATAAGTTGAGAAAAATTTCTTTTTTTAAAGGTTTATCTATTTATTTATTTATTTATTAAGATAGAGTTATAGAGGGAGAGACAGAGAAATCTTCAATCCGTTGATTCACTCCCTAAATGGTTGCAATGGCCAGAGCTGAGCCAGGAGTTTCTGCCAAGTCTCCCACACAGGTGCAGGGGCCATCTTCTACTGCTTTTTCAGGCCATAGCAGAGAGTTGGATTGGGTACATACATGAAATCATTACATTGTACACCTTAAATTTATACAGTTTATCAACTACAGTTCCATAAAGCTAGAAAATAAATAATTAAATAAATTCTTATCCATTCTCATCTAACAATTAAAAAAAGAAAGTTGATTTGGTTACTCCAACTTATTTAAATTCCCTTGGGACTTCAGAGTCATTTTGAAAATTTGTACTAAAGCATCTACTAAGTTGTTGACTAGGGTTGTGTGCAGTGCATTTAGCGAAAATTGATATCTTAACACAACTGAATCTTCCAACCCATTGGCAGGCCCATCTTTCCTTTCATATTGGTCTTCTCTAATTTTTCTCAACAATGCCTTGACGCTTTCAGGATACAGTCCTGCATATATTTTGCCACATATAGTAAGAAGCAATAATATTTTTGTTATAGTGAACTGTTACTTTGCTAATTTTAATTTTTGATTATTTACTGATATCCGGAAATGCAACTGATTCTTGATTCTAATATCCTGTAAAATCAGCAAATCCATTTACCAGCTCTAGTTTGGGTTTTATACATTCTACCAATGTGTCTATGTAGTTGATCATGTATTTAGTGAATAAAAATAGTGTTACATTTTCTTTCCTATTCGAATGACTTTTCTTTCTTTTTGTTTTCTTATGGCATTTACTTGAGACACTAACATAAAAGATGTGAGTGGATGTGACTTAACTGGCTTATTCTTGACGATAAGAGAAAGGATTTGTTTTTTCACCATCTTGTTTGAGGTTATCTGTGAACTGTTGTATAAATATGCTTTGTCAAGTTGAATGTTTCTTTTACTTCTACTTTACTGAAGTCCAAGAATAAATACTGTATTTTGTCAAATGTTTATCCTGCATCTATGGAGATGATCATATTTTTTCCATTTAATTTTACATTATTTATTATAATGATTTATTGTTTAATGTTAAGCCAAGTTTCATGCTTGGCGTAAACCCTACTTGGTTATGAGATCTTACTCTGTTTTGTATGCTGTTGGATTTGATTTGATGATAAAAATTTGTCAATAATTCTTGCATAAATGCTCATGAGAAACACTTTTGCATTTTTTAAAGATTTTATTTATTTATTTGACAGGCAGTTACAGAGAGAGAGAGAGAGAGAGAGAGAGAGACAGAAAGGTCTTCCTTCCATTGGTTCACTCCCCAAGTGGCCGCAACAGCTTGAGCTGCGCCGATCCGAAGCTAGGAGCCAGGTGCCTGGTCTCCCATGCGGGTACAAGGGCCCAAGCACTTGGGCCATTCTCCACTGCTTTCCCAGGCCACAGCAGAGAGCTGGATTAGAAGAGGAGCAACCGGGACTAGAATTGGCGCCCATATAGGATGTCGGCGCCACAGTCGGAGGATTAACCTAGTGTGCCATGGCACCGGCCCCACTATTGCATTTTTCTAACAAAATATTTTTCTGGATTTATATTTAGGATAAATCTGACCATAAAGAATGAGTTGAAAAATATTCACCTCTTCTATTTTCTTAAATAGTTTCAGTATGATTTGTATTCTTTGTTTTTGAAATAGTTGAATATTTGGTTGAATTAAACCATGAACTTGCCTGAGTATTCTCTCTGGGTAGGTTTTTATTTGTTTGTATTGCTTAGTTTTGTTTCCTTATAAATCCCATTGCTTTAATAGGTGTAAGGCCGCCAGCGCCGCCGTAGCTCAATAGGCAAATCCTCTGCCTGCAGCGCCAGCACACCAGGTTCTAGTCCCGGTTGGGACCCTGGATTCTGTCCCATTTGCCCCTCTTCCAGGCCAGCTCTCTGGTGTGGCCCAGGAGTGCAGTGGAGGATGGTCCAAGTGCTTGGGCCCTGCACCTGCATGGGAGATCAGGAGAAGCACCTGACTCCTGGCTTCAGATCAGCACGGTGCGCAGGCCACAGCAGCCATTGGGGGGTGAACCAATGGCAAAGGAAGACCTTTCTCTCTGTCTCTCTCTCTCACTGGCCACTCTGCCTGTCAAAAAACAAACAAACAAAAAAATAATAGGTGTAAGGCAATTCAGATTCTGTTTCTTCTCGAGCAAAATTTAGCAATTTTTGTCTTTCAAGAAAGCTTGCCATTTCATGTAAGTTTTGAAATCTATTGGCATAAAGTTGGTCTTCATACCTTCATACCCTGTTAGTATATTTATTTTTTTAAGATATATTTGAAAGGCGGACCTACTCAGAATTGTTGCATCCACTGGTTCCCAAATGGCTACACTGGCTGAGTCAGGCTGTTAGTATCTTTAATGAATAATGTTTTCTTTCTTATTTTTGGTATTGTTAATGTATGTCTCCTTTCTCTGTTTTCCTGGTGAAATTGGCTGGAATTTTATTATATTTGTCAACTTTTTCCAAACTCCAGATTTTTAAAAAACTGATATTCTGTATTTTTGTCTTTCACTAACTTCTGTTCTGATTATTTCCTTTCTTCAGCTTACTTTATGTTTAATTTCCTCTTCCTTTTTAGTTTCTTAAGTTACTTGCTGTGGGCAGACTCATAGAATGACAGATGTCCTAAACAGCACTCTGGCCTCAGAATCAGCCCTTCAGGCATTCGGATCCAGCTGAAAAGCCCATGAGAGTATTTCAGGCATGGAAAGCCAAGACACTCTGGAAAAACAAACAAACAAACAAACAAAAAACACCTAAATGAAAGATCTCCACGAGTGATACCCCAGTGGAAAGAATAAGTCATCGAAGAAGGAGGTACCTTTCTCTGAAGGGAGGAGAGAACTTCCACTTTGACTATGACCTTGTCTAAATATGATAAGAGTCGGTGAACTCAAAAGGCTTCCATAGCCTTGGCAACTCATGACTGGATCCTAGGGAGATTACTGATGCCATAAACAAGAGTGTCAAATTGTTAAGTCAACAACAGGACTCACTGTGCACTTACTCCTCATGAAAGATCTCTGTCCTTAATGTGCTGTACATTGTGATTTAATGCTATAACTAGTACTCAAACAGTGTATTTCACTTTGTGTTTCTATGTGGGTGCAAACTGTTGAAATCTTTACTTAATATATACTAAACTGATCTTCTGTATATAAGAGAAATGAAAATGAATCTTGATGTGAATGGAAGCGGAGAGGGAGCGGGAGAGGGGAGGGTTACGGGTGGGAGGGAAGTTATGGAGGGGAGCCATTGTAATCCATAAGCTGTACTTTGGAAATTCATATTCATTAATTACAAGTAAAAAAAAAAGTTACTTGCTGTGGTCACTGATTTGAAACATTGCTTCTATCTCAACAGGGGTATGCTATCAGTATTCCATCCATAAGACTGACATGGTGGTATTTTTGTTTAGTTCAAAATAAGTTATATTTTTCTTTTTCTTTCTTCTTTTACCCATGTGCTAGCTAGAAATGTTGAATTTTCAAACATTTCAAATCAATTTTTAACAGATAAATTGGAAGAAGGAATGCTTAGCACCAGAGATCCACAACATTTACATTTTAGAATCTTTTGTCATTGTATTGTGATTGTACATGCTTAGCTTCCATATTTTAAAATTTCCTCCCTCCCTCCTTCCCCTCCTCCCTCATTCCCCCCTCCCTCTCTTCCTGCCTTCCTTCCCCTTCTTTTTATTGTTTCTTATATATAATTTACTTGGATTATTATACTTAATTTTGCTTGCACCCCTACACAGAATATGTTGCAGAAGTTCAGTTAGAGAAGTGGTTACTCATCATTTTTAAGCCATTTAAGTTATAACTATTTTATATAGACTTACAAAATTTAAATTGCTGAAAATAAACTGTTAATGCTATTTTAGTTGTTGCACTTAATCTTCTCATCTGCAGTGCCAGCATTTATCAGAGCCCTGTGCAGTACACAGAGAAGTACTCATCTGGAGCCATCCCTGAGAAGTGACAACCCAGGTTTGGTCTCATTCTAGTCCACTTCTTATTTTATCCTTATCTTCCTTCAAGTATATATGTTTTATATTTTTTAATTTATTTTCATTTTATTTGGAAGAGAGGGAGACAAAAGATATTTTCCATCCAATGGTTAACTCACCAAATGCCCAGAACAGCCAAGGCTGGGCCCATCCAAAGTCAGAATCTGTACCTCCCACTTGGGTAACAGACAGGAAGTGACACTGGGAGCTCCTTGTGAAACGTGCATCCCAAGTAGCAGCGTCAGATGCCTGTTGCTGTAACATTTTTTACCCCAACTTCCTCGGCATATTTAAAAAGATAAAAGTGCTTCGAATGCAACATTAAAATGTATGACTTATTTGTGTACAAGTCTTAAAGTAATTAATTGTCCTTTACTTTAACTGGTCACAATCAGATTACATAAAACCAATAAGAAAATTATGTAAAATCAGTATAATCATCTAAGTTAAGTTAGTCCCCAAGTCTCCTAAAGGAAACAAGATGAAATATACACTCTCATTAAAAACATCTTGATTCTGAAGGTAACTTATTAAATATTAATATTACTGGTGTAATTGCTTTCCAAACACATGTATTTTCCGTTTCTAACAGCAACATTTCTTTCACATCAGACTTTTGTTCAAATATCATAATGGACAGCCTACCAAAAGCTTAGGTAGCTGTAGGAATAGAAGTCAAGCAGTGAACCCCATACAGATGTTCCTGTCTTAAGAACTCGGAGAGCCGGCGCCACGGCTTACTAGGCTAATCCTCTGCCTAGCGGCACCGGCACACCGGGTTCTAGTCCCGGTCGGGGCACCGGATTCTGTCCCGGTTGCCCCTCTTCCAGGCCAGCTCTCTGCTGTGGCCCAGGAGTGCAGTGGAGGATGGCCCAAGTCCTTGGGCCCTGCACCCCATGGGAGACCAGGATAAGTACCTGGCTCCTGCCATCGGATCAGCGCGGTGCGCCGGCTGCTGCGGCCATTGGAGGGTGAACCAACGGCAAAGGAAGACCTTTCTCTCTGTCTCTCTCTCTCACTGGCCACTCTGCCTGTCAAAAAAAAAAAAAAAAAAAAAAACCTCGGAGAAAGAGAAGCCCATCACATAATTCCTTATAAGCCTCTCCCATTCCTCCCTCCTCTTAAATTCATCCTCATTTTTTTAAGAAATGCCCCTAGGGGATTTGTGGTGGTGTATCAGGTTAAAGCCCCGGCCTGCAGTGTCCACATCTCATACGAGTGCTGGATTGAGTCCCGGCTGCTCCACTTTCGATCCAGCTCTTTGCTGTGGCCTGGGAAAGCAGTGGAAGGTGACCAGAGTCCTTGGGCTCCTGCACCTGCGTGGGAGACCTGGAAGAAGCTCTGGGCTCCTGGCTTTGGATCAGCTTACCTCTGGTTGCTGCTGCCATCTGGGAAGTGAGCCAGCAGATTGAAGACCTCTCCCCACCCCCTCTGTGTGTGTGTGTGTGAGTGTGTATCTTCCTCTCTCTGTAACTCTGTCAAATAAATAAAATGAATCTTTAAAAAAAAGAAAAAAGAAAAATTCCGCCAGATCTCCTTCAGAACAGTCAGATAAGACTGAGCTTAAAAGTCATTTGGCTGGGGGACCAATGCTGTGGCACAATGGGTTAACACCCTGGCCTGAAGCGCCAGCATCCCATATGGTTGCCGGTTCTAGTCCCGGCTGCTCCACTTCCGAAGCAGCTCTCTGCTGTGGCCTGGGGGAAAGCAGTAGAAGATGGCCCAAGGATTTGGGCCCCTGCACCCATGTGGGAGACCCGGAAGAAGCTCTTGGCTCCTGGCTTTGGATCGGCACAGCTCTGGCTGTTGTGGCCATTTGGGGAGTAAATCATTGTATGGAAGACCTCTCTCTGCTTCTCCTTTCTCTGTGTTCTGTGTAACTCTTTCAAATAAATAAATAAATCTTAAAAAAGAAGTCATTAGGCTGGAATAACACGGGGCATCATATGCCCACTGGCCCTTGGGCAGGGATTTATTTGTGGTTCCAAATTCCAAGAGAACCCTCTACTTCATGCATGTAGACCAGCATCTCTTTCCTACAGTGTCTCCTCGTGAAACCTCAAGTGGCAACCTTGTCTCATTCATGTCAGGACAGCAATTCACATGACGGGAGAAAATTTCTGTCCATGAGACAATAAAGCCTTCCAAATTCTGTTGTTTTCATTTTACAGAATAAGGCTCATGTACTCCCCCAAGTTTTCATATTTTTCAAACATGTATTGATTTATTTGTGTTATTGGAAGGCAGAACGAGAGGGAGAGAGAGGAGAGAGAGATGGCTTCCGTTATTGGTTCACTCCAGAAATACCAACAACAATCAGAGCTGGGCCACAATGACACTAGCAGCTAGGAACTTCATCTGGGTCTCCCATATGGATGGCAAGGATTTAAGTACCTGAACCATGTCTGCTACCTCCCACAGTGTGTGTTAGCAGGAAGCTGGATTGGAAGTGGAGTAGCCGGAACCCCCATCAGGCACAGCAATGAGGGCATCACACACTGCATCTTAAGCTGCTGCCCCTCACCATCTTCCCCTCCAAGTTGTTCAGGGACTGCATGAGCTCACCACGTGTGGCACAGGTTTCTGACGCAGAGCTGGTGTCTTCTGGAAGGGTTTACATGCCAGGCTGTCCTTGGTAAACAAGTTGGTGTTGAGATGAGGAAGGAGAGGGAGCATGGGAGAGCAGGGGTTGCGAAGGGTGAATGACAGCACCTTGACCAGGGGACAGTTGCAGTAGATGAGACCTTCACTGTGTCGAGTTTCATAGCAGAAGTCTATGAGACGTGAAGATTATGGGCTTCTGTGACCACAACAGCTGGGGCTAGGCCAGGCCCAAGCCAGGAGCCCGGAGCTTCTTCGGTGTCTCTCAAGTGGATGCAGGGTTTCAAGCACTTGGACCATCTTCTGCTGTTCTCCCAGGCACATTAGCAGGGAGCTGGATTGGAAGTGGAACAACCAGGACTTGAACCAGTGCCCATTTGTGATGCCAGCATCAAAGGCAGCGGGTTTACTTACTACACCATAATACCACCCCCAAAAGGCGCCTTTTAATCAAAAGCTTTTCTTTGCTTTCCAAATATCCAAACAGGTTAGCAGATTTTAAACACTGGGCATATTTCAGTTCTTGTTTTTTAGTGATTTAAACATTTTTTTCTTTAACCCAGTGCTTGATAGCATGAAAGAGACACTTTTATGGGAAATTACAGTATCCCTTCCTACTATAAAGTCAGCTAAATTTCTAATCAGAATGATGGTCAGGAAAGCCTTAGACAGTTTTCTCATCCTAAACACAGGCTTTTGTTAACATCTGTTTCAATAGAATGGCAACAAAGTAAAACTGGCATCAAAGAATGGAGGCAAAACTCAATGCTAGGGCTTGCATTGCGGGGCAGAGGTCAAACCACAGACTGCAACACCGGCATCCCAGATTCCTGTCCACAGCTATTCCATTTCCAATCCAGCTTCCTGTTAATGGGTCTGGGAAAGCAGAAGATGACCCAAGTGCTTGGGCCTCTGTCACGTATGTGGGAGACCTAGATGGAGTTCCTGGATCCTGGCTTTGGCCTGGCCTAATCATGGCCATTGCAGCCATGTGAGGAATGGACCAGGGGATGGAAGATATCTCACTCTGTCTCTTCTCTTTCTCAAAGCTACAGAACTGACTGAAACACACACACACACACACACACACACACACACACGTTTATGGGTGATTAATTATATAATATCTGTAGAAAATGTAATTAAAAGATAATTTTGGTGCAGAAAAATTTTTGACATCCATACAAAGTGCCTTCAAAACATTAATGGAAATGATTATTATACAGTAACTGGGCATAGATTTCAGTATTTTTAAAATATTTATTTTTAGGTGCTTGAACGGTAAAGCAACAGAGGAAGAGAGAGAGAGAATATCTTCCCTCCACTGGTTTACTCCCCAAACACCTGCAACAGACACAGCTGGGCCAGGCTTATAGCAGGAGCCAGGAACTCAGTCCACCTGTCTGGGGTGTCTGGCATGGACCCAAGCACTTGAGCCACCATCTGCTGTCTCCCAGAAAGTTGACCGAAGCAAAGGAGCTGGAACTTGAACTAGGGATTCAGTATCCCAACTGGCATCTTAACTAGCTGCAACACAACATCCACCCCAAAATTCAAAAAAATTTTTTTTGCATGAAACTAGACTGATTTAACTTCATTTTTATTAATTTTTGAAGTACTCTTGTATTTAACTATATATTCATAGGTTACAACAACTACTACAAGTTTCTTTAATTGATTTTAATTATGGAAGCATTATATATTTGATTGCAATCATTAATTTATTTTGTTTTTAAGGTTTTGTTTTTTTTTTTTTCATTTATTTGAAAGAGAGTCAGACACAGAGAGACATAGAGGTTTGCAATTCACTGGTTGAAGTCAGGAGTCCAGCACTCAGTGCTCACCACTTGACCTAACTGAGTCATCATGGCTGCTTCCCAGGGTATGTATTAGCAAAAGTTAGAATGGAAGTGGAGCTGGGATTGGAACCCAGGAACTCCAGAATCGAATGCAAGTATCCCAAGCAGGGCCTTAACCATTGCTACAAAGCCCACCCCTGTAGACAGTATTTTAAAGTGTTCTTTTTTTCTTATAATCTTTCTCAGTTTGCATGTATTTTACTTACCATTAATATAGTAAAATCTATAAGACTTACGTTTTTATTTTCCCCCAAATTTCATAATTACATATCCTGAAAGGTAACATGAATTGGCTGACACAATAAATATGCTCTGGGTGCATATCAACGTATTATATTATAGATGGATAAACTATTGTGTATGAGGGCACAGAAAAAAAATGTGGAAAATGGAATGAAAAGACACATTCAGTTTGGTGAAATTCTTTTACAAAAAATCTACTTTTTTGATTTTCATAATAGGTGTTTTCTGTGAATGTTTTGAAGGTGTCTCATATATGTCAATTCAGATATTCATGCATTAAATACATCCATCCTTGAAAAGTCAGCTTCCTCCCTGGCCACCCTCTCACGAATCTGGCTCTAGGACTCACGTGTGAGCCCAGCGAACATTTATGTAAACTCAGTTACTCCTCTGCCTGGGAACCTGTTCTGTGGCTGCACATTCGCAGTGTTCTCCCAGCCATCCCTGCTCCTGGGAGACTTTCAAAAGCATAATCAGGAACCCAATCAACTACAATGGGATTAACGTTTTTATTATAATGATGTGCTAAATGGAGACATCTAATTGTATCCTCCTGGCTAGTCACATTTATTAGTTAAGAAATCTCTCATAAACTCTATTCATAATAGCTTCCTCATGTCTTAGAAAAATCAATGTTAATTTTGCTTCTCAAGGAAACAATTAAGGTGCTGGAAGAAAATAATCCCCGACTTTTTCTTTGGAGACTTAGAAAATCATCGTGGGCTCTCTCCTGAATGTAAAACAGCATCCTTACACTGTCAGATGGCTTCCACCTACTGAGCAGGATCACAAGTGTGTCTCACCAAGGAGCAACACCCTCCTGCACACTACTGCTACCTACTACTGACTGAGCAGAGTCACATGCATGTATCATTAAGGCCAAACACGGAGAGAAAGGTATTATTACTTCCATTGTCCTGGTGGTTACACTGAAATGTGGGGAGGGTCACATGAGAACTCATGAATAACAAGTTGGTGCTGGGGGCATGGGTCCTACTTGGATTCTCCATAGACTGCTGGCCTTGCTGTGATTATGGGAACCTCCTTGCCATTATGGGAACTGCCTTCCCTTCTACACCTGCATTTATTTGACATTTTTCCCTTTGCAAAGCCATTTTTCCCTTTGCAAAGTATGCCAAAGAAGTCAAAATCAGCTACATATTCAAATGATATCTGTATATGCAGATTAGTGTAACAAAAGATGCAGCTAATTTTTTTTTTTTTTGGCAGGTAGAGTGGACAGTGAGAGAGAGAGACAGAGAGAAAGGTCTTCCTTTGCCGTTGGTTCACCCTCCAATGGCCGCTGTGGCCAGCGCACCGCGCTGATCCGATGGCAGGAGCCAAGTGCTCATCCTGGTCTCCCACTCCCGGGCCACAGCAGAGAGCTGGCCTGGAAGAGGGGCAACCAGGACAGAATCTGGCACCCCGACCGGGACTAGAACCTGGTGTGCCGGCGCCGCTAGGCGGAGGATTAGCCTAGTGAGCCACAGTGCCGGCCTCAGCAGCTAATTAATAAGTAAGGAATTTCAATTGGATCTTCACAGAACATTGTGATATGGGGCCAGTGCTGCGCCTTGGAGAGTAAAGCCGCCACCTGAGGTGCTAGCATCCCACATGGGCACCAGTTTGAGTCCCAGCTGATCCATTTCCTACCCAGCTCCCTGCTAATGTTCCTGGGAAAGAAGTAGAAGATGGACCAAGTGCTTGGGCCCCAGAATCCAAGTGGCATACCTGGAGGCAGCTCTTGGCTCCTGGCTTCAGTCTGGCCCAGCCCTGGCCATTTGTGGACATTTGGGGAATAAACCAGCAGATGGGACACTTTGTCTCTTCCTATCTAACTCTGCCTTTCAAATAAATAAAATGAATATTTTAAAAAGTTAGATAGTAGAAAATAGAAAGCTTGTATAAGTTATTTGAAGATGCTAAAAGGCATCTCATCATAAACCCACAACTGGTACCATGTCATTTAACTTATTTTATTCATGGCAGCTTGTCAAATTATCAGAAATAAGTTTCAATAAGCATGAGAAATTGTGAAATAATTTATCAGCAGAGTAAGCAGGATGATGAGTTGACGTTCCTAATCTAATGCACGAGACTCCAACATTTATTATTTACATTTCAATTACATATTAGACCACTAAAGTGACTGTGTCTTAAAAACTCAATTATGAGTGCATTAAGAGATTATTCAATAGAAATAATAAATAAATATTAAAAGTATTAAGTATCCTCAAACAAGACTCCTTAGAGTGTATTTACTTTCTTTTCTCCTATGGGGCCATAGTTTCATGAAACATTTGTCCGATTTCTCCTTTCAATGACTGTCCATATGCATATTAAGACGTTAATTGACAAATCTTAAAGCATATGCTCAAAAAATCACAGCCCCTAAAAACCCCTAAAACATACATCAAAGTGATTCTCCTGTTAAGACAAGATTGCAGTATTCCAGCCACATGCAGAAGTGCTAATGCTCACCCCCCACTGCATCCTCCAGCATATTCATGTAACACTATGGTGTTCTAACAGGAGAAATGAAAGACAGACGGTGGAGGAGTCACAGACCATCAGCTGTGCCTTTGGTGCTGGAAGAGACTTCCACTCTGCTGTGATGCAAGGTTTCCCCGCCCCTTCTACATTTGCAAGGAGCTGGAAGCATCTGCTGGCTGACACGTGGCTGCTGTGAGTGGGTAGACCTGTAGGCAACAGGTAAGTTATAAGCATGCAATTCCAGTTAATTGTCATGCATGAGGCATGGAAGTCTCAGGATAAAGCAAACATGTGCTGTTAAAAGTGAAGACAGAACTGGGCTGGCACTGTGGTGTAATAGAATAGTCTCTGCCTGCAGTGCCAGCATCCCATATGGGCAGCCGGTTTGTGTCCTGGATGCTTCTTTTCCCATCCAGCTCTCTACTTATGGCCTGGGAAAGCAGTAGAAGATGGCTTAAGGACTTGGGCCCCTGATCCCATGTGGGATTCCCCAGGGAGTCTCGTGGCTCCTGGCTTTGGATTGGTCCAGCTTCAGGCATTGCGGCCATTTGTGGAGTGAACCAGAGAATGGAAGACCTCTCTCTGTCTCCCCCTCTCTCTGTAACTCTACCTCACAAATAAATAAATATTTAAAAAAAATAAGACAGCATTCATTCAGTAATGATTACATTTGTCATTGTCACCTGGTAATGTCTATGTAGTATGATAGGCTCCCACAAGGGTACAAAAGTACATGGGAGGCAGAATTAAAAGCTGAACTTATTTTGGGGGCCAATGTTGTGGTGTAGCAAGTAAAGCTGTCTCCTGCGACACCAGCGTCCCATATGGGCTCCAGTTCATATCTTAGCTGCTGCACTTCTGACCCAGCTCCCTGCTAATGGCCTGGAAAAAACAGCAAAGGATGGCCCTAGTGATTGGGTCCCTTCCATCCATGTGGGAGACTTGGATGGAGGTCCTGGCTCTTGGCTACGGCCTGGCCCAGCACTAGGTGTTGTGGCCATCTGGGGAGTGAACCAGTGGATGGAAGATTCTTCCTCTCTCTCTCTCGTCTCCCCCTCTGTCTCTGTTAAGTCTGAGTTTTAAAGAAATAAGTAACTTCTTTTTTTTAAATAAAGTTATGCTTATTTAGGTACAAAAATTCATGAAACCAATGCAAAGGCATGGTCTTCAAAAACAGCCATAGAAAGTGAATGTTAGGGAAAACCATTTCTAAACTTTTCAAAGCTTAATGTTTTTTGAGATAACAAATTTCAATTTACATTATAGTCAAAGGCTTAATGGCTCTACTACATAAAAAAGCTCAACAATTAAAAAGTAAATAGACGATAGTGCATTGAGGAAAAAAGGCCAGGGCTATAAACAATCAGATGAAAAGTTGTTCAACCTCACTCATACCATGTAAAGTTTTAAAATAGTCACAACATCATTAAAACTAAAGTGGTATGTAACTCCTTCCAATTTGACAAAGATTTAAAACAGATTGACAAGACACTGTATTTGCAGCAAAACTGATACACACAGGCAACTCTTTCTGGTTTCAGTTTTGAATTTTTTTTTTCAATTTTAGCCCCCACATGCAAGACAGAACATGTGGTATTTGTCTTTCCCTGCCTGACTTATTTCACTCAACATGATGTCCTCAAAATAGCTTACACCAAAACAAATATGTGTGAATTCCATTTTTCCATGAGCCTTTGGAAGCACCCTGTTGGATGTTGTATGCTAGCCCTGCTCATCTTCTCCAGGCTTGGGATGCGCAGGACACACTCTTCCAGGACGACAGCCCTGGAGCCCCGAGATTCTGAGCATCCCCTGGGGACAGGCTGTGCTGACCAGCAGGGGAAAGGGGCAAGTGTCTCTCTCTCTCACTGTCTAACTCTGCCTGTCAAAAAAAAAAAAAAAAAAAAAAAGAGAGAGAGAGAGAGAGAAGATTATGGTTCCTTTGCCTTCACAGTTCCCCATGGGGTCAGGCTGCAGGATGACTCAGTTCGTTTCTTCCTCTACCCTCTGCTTCAGTGACTTCCACTCAGCTTTCCCTGGGAGCATGCCCCTGTCTTACATAATCTGGGTGGGAATCCCTGTCCCCGGCTCTGCTTCAAGGGAACTTGTCCTTTGTGGCTGCTGCAGGGCCACTGATCTTCATGATGGCAGGTGCACAGTATCTGTGAGTCTGCAGAGTTCACACAAACACCAGTTCCTGAACAAATTCTGGATTGTATTTCATAATAAACATACACTCAAGAATTGCTGAGAGATCCTAAATGTTCTTATCGTAAAAAGTGAGGTGATTGATATGTTAATTAACCTGCTATAGCCGCTGTAAAATATATATGTGTATACACATATGCAAACATCATGTTGTGCAAATGATAAATGTATCTTTTATTTGTCAATTTAAAAATTAAAAAAGTTTATGTATATTCCAAAGATGCTTGGGTCAAGTGCAACTAGCAGGTAGAATTGCCTGTAGTGTCCACTGCTGGAGGATGCTTGCTGGACACTTACCTTTCCTCCTGGTTCTGAGTTATGCCTCTCGTCTTACTGGTGGATTTCATGCAGGGCTGATGAATATGCTTGTTGCTCACCTCTGGGAAACACTGTCCAAATACTGCCACTGTGTGTGACTGCTGACAGTTCCAGGTTCCCTCACAATTGCTGCTTGAACAGAACTTTCAAGAACAATACGGCTCTGTTTTTCAAAAATCTAGATTTTCAAATTTCTGGTCCTGTTGAAATATTGAGAGGATAGAATATTAAAGGCATCAGGTTTAAACTCTTAACTCCACTGGCTCTATTTTTTTTTTTTTATTTTGGGGGTGAGCATTATGTTGCAGTGGCTTAAACCACGGCTTGGGACACCAGCATCCTATATGTGAGTGTTGGCTCAAGTCCTGCCTACTTATGTTCCAGCCCCCAAATAACGTATCTGGGAGGCAACAGATGATGGTGTAGCAGGTAAAGTCGCCGCCTGCAGGGCCAGCATCCTGTATGGGCACCAGTTCGAGTCCTGGCTGCTCCACTTCCAATCCAGCCCTCTCTTTGTCCTGAGAAAGCAGCAGAAGATGGTCCAAGTGCTTGGGACCCCTGCATCCATGTGGGAGACCCAGAAGAAGCTTCTGGCTTCTGCCTTCAGATTAGCCCAGTCCCAGCCATTGTGGCCATCTGGGGGGTGAACCAGCAGATAGAAGACCTCTCTGTCTACCTCTGCCTCTCTGTAACTCTGCCTTTCAAATAAATAAATAAATAATTTAAAAATGCATACATAAATAACTCTTAAAATAATAAAATGTATCACTTCCAGGGGAAAAGCTCTACCCATGTGGTTGTGCACAGCTTTAACAGCTATCTTACTTTCAAAAACCATCCGCAGCCTCCAAGCACAGTCTTTTTCTGACAAGGACAGGGGGTCTTTTAGCTGCCAAGGTTTCGCCTGAGTCAATTTTAATTAAGCAGCCAGGGCAGAGGCTTATCTTGTTTCTGCCCATCTCAGTGATATTAATGGATGTCTGCTGGAGGCTGAAGACATTTTGTTCAGGGACATCTGGTCTCCCAGTGGTGGAGCTGGACCCCAATACCAGTCAGTGTAGTGAGAGAGCATCCTCAGGACTCAAACCCTTTTTGTCCTGCCAAAGCTTTATGGGGAGCAGAGACTGCAGCAGGATGCTATGTGATATGTCACCTAGATGGAATGGCAAATGGCAGTTAACTGGCCTCTGTGTATGGGGAGGTTCTCTGCTGGAAGTTACATGCTGGCTGTGTAGTCTCTCCTGGGTGCCTGCCATGCAGTCCCCTCCAGCGTGCTTTGTCTTCCAAAGGAGTGGAGGAGCTGGGAACCCACATCCGCAGAGCTTGCTCCCTTCAGGGTGGGACCACAAACAATAACACCAAGAAGCAGAAGAAAGCATCTTTGTTTCTTTCCAGTGAGGGTCAGCTGCTCCCATGCTGGAGCGAGTGAGTGATACAGCAGCCTTCTCCTCAGAGTCCACTCCTGTTCAAGGGCACCCGTGGCTTCCTGAGAGCAATGCAGGGCATTTAGGAGACTGTGCGCCCTGCCTTGCTGACTTGAGGTAAGGAGATGTAACCAGGGGAAACAGGTGCATGCTGCAGGCTTCAGTAAGTCGAGGGCCTGAGATACTTAATCTGAGCTCACACTGAATTAAAATTCCCGTCGTCTGTCACAGTGTCTTTCCCAGGGCGCACCAGCACTCAGCTGCAATTTTTGCTGTCTCATTAATCCTCTCTGCTCTCACCCTTCATTTCCTCTTGGATAGGACTGGAGTGGAGCCGCCCCCGGATTCTTGGGCACTTACCTATGCACCAATTAGCAGCAATTCCTGAGCATTTGGGAGTATCTAGAGGAGAACAAAAAGCTGTAGAGGAAAATAGAAAGCTGATGTTTCCAGTGTGCATTCAGGCTGTCATTTCCAGTTTCCACTAACAGGTGCCATAACAGAGCAGAGTCATGGAGCCCTCTGCTGACACCTGGTGGAGAAGGAAAATACAACCTCAGCCACAGTTTTTAACGAAGTTAATTGAGTGCACTTTTTGCTTTGAAACAAAGTAGTTTCCTCTGAAATTAAAAGTTGATGGAATTAACAAGCACCCCAGGCAGCAATGCATGCACACATTTCTTCTTCTGTGTTGGTGTATTTCTTTGCCATTGCAGACTAAATCTTTTTTTTAAATGTTTTAAATTTTTGAGATAACATTTTAAATTTACGTTTTAGTCAAAAGGCCTAACGCACCACCTAATAAAGAGTTCAACAAGTAAGAAGTAAAAAGGCCTCAGTTCAGTGGGAATATAGGCAAGGGCTATCACCACTAACCCTCTTCTGATTTACAAAGCTGACGTGTCCACCCTGATGTGGTGCTGTGAATATTGGAGACTACGTACGGAAAGTATATGGTTCAACCCCAAATCACCTCTGCTTTCTGCCCACCAGCACAAAATGCTCTCAGGTCTTCCTCTCTTTTTGCAAACCCAACAGAGGGGCCATCTCTGCCTATGGCTTCATCCTCCTCCCTCTATTCTCCTCTCTCCCCTGCTATCAACACTTATTTCTGGCTTCTACCCACACCTCCAAACCTACAACATTTACAAATAAAATAACCGCCATCAGTCAACAGTAGCAGCACCTGCCAGGACATCCACCCTCCCTCCTCTCCCCTCCCCTCTTCCCCTTCCCTTCCATTCCCATCCTCTATTCCTCTTGCCCACCCCTCCCCTCCCATGCCACCTTCCCCTTCCCTATCCTCCTTTGCCTTTCCCTCCCTCCCCTCTCTCTCCCTCTCCCATTATCACCAATCTTCTTCTTCTTCTTCTTCTTCTTTTTTTTTTTTTTTTTGACAGGCAGAGTGGACAGAGAGAGAGAGAGAGAGAGAGAGAGAGAAAGGTCTTCCTTTGCCGTTGGTTCACCCTCCAATGGCCGATGTGGCTGGTGCGCTGATCCGAAGCCAGGAGCCAGGTGCTTATCCTGGTCTCCCATGCGGGTGCAGGGCCAAGGACTTGGGCCATCCTCCACTGCACTCCTGGGCCACTGCAGAGAGCTGGCCTGGAAGAGGGGCAACCAGGACAGAATCCGGAGCCCCGACCGGGACTAGAACCCAGTGTTGCTGTGCCGTAGGTGGAGGATTAGCCTAGTGAGCCATGGCGCCGGCCTCACCAATCTTAACAAGACTTGCACTGACTTTCTCCACTCCCTCCACGCAGATGGGCTCAATTCCCACTAGTCCTCCTTTGAAAGGTAGCCTCTTCAGAAACTGCTGTGATGGCCAAGGGTTTTGTGGTCAGGTGGACACTCCCCGGACGCGTTTCGAAGTGACACAAGTCACTGGGCAATATTTGCAGCTCTCACCAACTTCCTCACTCTCGGACATTCTCCTGAGCCCCTGGAAGCCACACTGTTCTGTCTTTACACCTGTGGCCCTCCGTGCTCAGCCTCAGCCCTCCTCCCCTGTTCGCTTTCCTCCACACAACACTTAGATGATTTTTGTTCCTCAGGATGTTTGCTCCATGTGTTCCCCTTGCTAAACCCATCACAATTCAGGGCCCTAGTTGTTAGCAACAAATGCTGGTAAGCTCAGCTTCCAATTTCCTGTGTTGGTTTCCTTGTTTATACCCAAGTCCCATTCTCTCACCCAATTATTCAACAACAATGTCAATTTCCACCTCCCAGTCAGTTAATGAGCCCTTGTTTGCTCCACAATAGCAGCATTTAGATTCCAATATTGTGGTAATGTCTGCAAGCAATACTTTGTTTTAATATAATATATGTATATAATACAATGTTTTAATATAATGTTTCTTTTAATTTAAATCACATTCTTTGCATTACCATAACTTCTTGCATTTAATTCAAACATTAAAAAGGAATATTGAATACAATGCGGAGGTTCATTTGCTTTTCCACTTTTAGAAACATATACAATAAAGTGCACACATACTCACCTACGGATACACAGCCTCTCACCTCTCCTCAATCATGAAACATTTACAGATGGGAATTTGGCACATTAATTAAGATTCTGCTTGGGAAGGCTGTATACCATAAAGGAGAATCTGGGTTCAAATCTTGTCTCCACTCCTGATTCTGGTTTCCTGCTAATGCTCACATGCTCACTGTGGGAGGTGGTGGTGATGGTTCAAGTACTTGGGTCCCTGCCACCATGTGGGGGACATGGATTGAGTTCCAGGCTCCTGACTTTAGTTGGGCCCACCTCAGGATATTGACTGCATTTGTGGAGTGAACCAGGGAATGGGAGATCTCTCTCTCTTTCTCCTTGGCTTTTTCTTTCCCTCTGCCTTTCAAATAATAAAATTTAATTATTGAAAATTTTAAAATCATTTCTACTTACCACCTACTGTTTGTACTTGAGGTTTGGTGGTGGGCAACATAAATGAGGCCCTTTCTCTCCTTCTTGCCTTCCAGGTTTACATCCCAGATGGATGGGAAACAGGAATTTGAAAGCAGTCTGCCAGCCTTAACTGCTTTGAAGAACTAAAACAACATGGTCAGAGAGACGTGAAGTGTGTAGGAAGGCTTTTCTAGACATTTCTAAGAAGAAATATTTTTTGCTATCAGTTAAGTCACAAGAAGGCATCGGGGGTTAGCTTTTGTAAATATCCAAGACAAGCTATTTGTAAAGAAAACAGAAGTTATTTTTTTAAAAGATTTTACTGGCCGGCGCCGTGACTCAGGCTAATCCTCAGCCTGCGGTGCCAGCACCCCGGGTTCTAGCCTCGGTCAGGTGCTGAATTCTGTCCCGGTTGCTCTTCCAGTCCAGCTCTCTGCTGTGGCCCGGGAGTGCAGTGGAGGATGGCCCAAGTGCTTGGGCCCTGCACCCACATGGGAGACCAAAAGAAGCACCTGACTCCTGGCTTCGGATCAGCACGGTGTGCTGGCCACAGCGGCCATTGGGGGGTGAACCAATGGCAAAGGAAGACCTTTCTCTTTTTCTTTCTCTCTCTCACTGTCCACTCTGCCTGTCAAAAAAAAAAAAAAAAAAAAAATTTGCCACTGCCACCAAATCTCTCCTCTCCTGGGGTTAACTTTTAGTTTGCGTACTGAAAAAGTGACAATTATTTTCACTCAGGTTTTTAAATGGAATTGCCCCATTTTCCAGTGTTCTGGGAGAGAAGTCTTATGTAAGCCTGGCTTTTGTTCTTTTGCAAATAACGTTCACTCTCGCTTGTTCACACCTCTGCGGCTTTCCCCACATTCCCTCCTCTTTCACAGGGATCCATCCAGCTGTGAATTTGTTGCTAAGATTCATCTGGTCAGACAGTCAGTCTGGTGACATATCTCTTCAGCTGTAAGAAAGTTCTGACTCACTCCTGGGAATTTACCCAAAGGAAGTAATCAATGTACGAAAGTGTTACCTATACCCCTATGTTTATAGTAGTTCAACTCAGTATAGCTCAGATAGGGAATCAAGGTGTCCATCAACTAGGTAAAGAAATTGTGGTGTATATTTATGTGTGTGTGTGTGTGATGGAAAACTACTCTTTTTGTAAAAGAAAGAAATCCTCTCTTTCACAACAAAATGGATGCAAATGAGACCATTTTGCTTAGTGAAGTAAGCCAGCCCCCAAAACGACAAATATCCTATGTGTTCCCTGATTTGTGGTAATTAATATACAGAATACAGGCTGGTGCTGTGGCTCACTTGGTTAATCCTCCGCCTGTGGTGCAGGCATCCCATATGGGCACCGGGTTCTAGTCCTGGTTGCTCCTCTTCCAGTTCAGCTCTCTGCTGTGGCCCAGGAGTGCAGTGGAGGATGGCCCAGGTGCTTGGGCTCCTGCGCCCGCATGGGAGACCAGGAGGAAGCACCTGGCTTCTGGCTTCGGATAGGCACAGCACTGGCCAGGCCATTTGGGGAGTGAACCAATGGAAGGAAGACCTTTCTCTCTGTCTCTCTCTCTCTCACTGTCTATAACTCTACCTGTCAAATAAAAAAAACATATACAGAATACAAAAAACAGAATGTATATGAGTGAAATTGACATTTGTGATTTGATTATTGTTTACAACCCTTGTCTATGCTCTTGAGGACCAGTGATTTTTCTGCTTGCTACTTGTTGAATTCCGTATTTAGTGGGCAGTTGTTTGTGACTATGAAGCAAACTGAAAGTATCTCATTTTAAAAGTTAAAAGAAAAATAAGGAAGAGGACAGATGGAGGGGGTAGGATGGGAAGTATCATTGTGCTCTTAAATCTGTATATATGAAATATACATAATTTGTTCCCTTTATATATATTTTAAAACATAAAAAACCTTCTAATATTTCTTTTTTAAATATTTATTTTGTTTATTTGAAAGAGCTACAGAGAGAGATAGAGACACAGAGAGAGGTCTTCCATCTGCTGGTTCACTCCCCACATGGCCACAACAGCCGGAGCTTTGCCAATCTGAAGCCAGGAGCTTCTTCTGGGTCTCCCATGTGGGTACAGGGGCCCAAGTACTTGGCCCATCCTCTACTGCTTTCCCAGACCATGGCAGAGAGCTGGAATCAGAAGTGGAGCAGCCAGGACTCGAACTGGCAACCATATGGGATGCCAACGCTCTAGGCCATGGCTTTAAACCACTGCACCACAGCACTAGCCCCCCCCCTTCTAATATTTCTAATATTTCTAAATGGGTGTTGGGAATTTGAATCCATCGTCCAAGTGCTCCAGCGTTTGTCCATCGCTTCTCCCCATTTGCAGGGTACACGCTTGGGAGAATTCTTGAAACCGTGAAGTTGAGCCCACGTGGCTTTCATCCATCAGCCTTCCCATTGCACACTTGCATTAGTGGCTCCAGGAACTCCCCATGCACTCTGGTGTTAGAGCATTTTCTCAAGGTTTTCCCTGTGGGGTAGACCCTACATCAGTTACTCTCAGCCCCCGTGTAGGGGATGTTACTCTTAGGTGAGCTCATTTTTAAGAATTCCTTAAAATTTTCGATTTGCCCATGGCGTTTTTTCCTGTCTGCTTGTGATGTCATCTATTTATGACTTCATGTGTGTAAGGTGCAGTGGAGAGCATCATGTGTTAAATAGAAGACTACAAAATGCCAATCCAAAGCATGATGAGACATCACCAGTTGGATCGGTTATTATCGACAGGCAAAAGACAATATGTGCTGGCGAGGATGCAGAGAAAAGGGAATCCAAGCACGCGGTTAACAAGACTGTGAATTGGCAGTCACTGCAGAAATCAGTATAAAGTTTCCTCCAAAAATTAAAAATAGGGGTGGAAGTGCAGGCTGGCAGTCAAGACACTAGGGCACCTGTGTCCCAGATCAGAGTGCCTGCGTTTGTTGGCTCCAGCTTCCTTCTAGTGTGGACCCTGCCATCAACAGCTGATGGCTCATATAGCTGTGTTCCTGCCAAACATGTGAGAGACCTGGACTCCATCTTTGGTTTGGTCCAGTCCCAGCTGTTGTAGGCATATGAGGACTGAACTGATCTTTCTCTGTCTCTCTCTCAGTCTGTATATCATAAAATAAATAACATCTTTTTAAAATTTAGAAATAAACCTGCCATGTGAACCAGAAGTTCTACTACTCAGTTTATATCCAAAGAAAACGGACTCAGTCTGCCCATGAGCCAAATGCACACCTGTGCTTATTGCAGCTCCAAGCACAATAGCCAAAACACGGAAACACCTGAGTGTTCATCACCTGATGAACGGATAACAATAT